CTCTAACTGCTCTCTTTGCATTTCTTAATTTTTTATTTCTTATTTTTTATAAGATAATGGATACATTTGCACATATTGTATATAGTTCTCCCGAATTTCTTATTTGCTTATACTGTACATAGTTTTTTTTTAATTTCTTAATTCTCATATTCTGTTTTCTTTTTTTTTTTTTTTTTTTTTTTTTTTTTTTTTTTTTTTTTTTTTTTTTTTTTTTTTTTTTCATTTTTAATTAATCAATCAATTGATTTATTCTTTTTTAACTTATTTTAGTGTCCCCACTTAGTGGTTATACATCGCGATTACAGTTTTGACACTTTAATAAAGGTATCATCATCATCATCATCATCATCATCATCATCATCAAATTTTTAGAGCAAAGTTTGAGACATTTGAGGCGTTTGTTTACATTGCCTATGAAAGTCAACAAAACAAGAGCTATCACATTTTTCCTAAGTACAGATGCTCAACACCAGCTTGTGCGCGCGCTGAGATTACGCGATATGATAAAAGCAGAATAATAATTTTGCGCTCCCTCCGTGGTGCAACGCCCGAAAAATACCCGATGAGGGGATCTTGAAATAGTGCCTAGGCAACTCTTACTGCTCGACACCTGTCGAAGGTCGAGTGTCGTTCCTTTCGACTGCTTTCGTGACGTAACAGTGGAGTAACATGCCCAATACATGCTCGGGATAGGTATAACAGGATAAGTCGAAAGAGAGCTATACCGTTGATCCAAATGGTGAAATTCTAAAGAGTGTGAAAAATATCAAAGATCTCGGTATCACAATATCGTACAATCTATCATGGAGCGATCATATTCACGAACTGGTCAATAAAGCCAACAAAGTCCTTGGGGTCCTTAAGCGCTTGCTTTGGTCTAACAGTGTAAATGAATTCTCTTTGCTATACAAAACTCTAGTGAGGCCGATACTGGAGTATGCGGCTCCAGTGTGGTGCCCCTTCCTAGTAAAGGACATTGTTTCGCCAGAAAAAGTCCAAAGGAGAGCGTCACGGCTGGCTTTAGGCCAAAAAAGGGGCGAAATGGACTACGAGGAACATGTTCCATTTAGAGTGGTCACCATTGAAGAATCGAAGACTGTATTTATCTCCGACCGAGTGTTATAAATCTATATTTTTTTTAAGTAATCTTGTATTTCAAGACTTTTTCCAGTCCGGCGTACAACGAACAAGAAGTAGTCATACTATTATAATATGCAGTTTCAAGCATCTAGTTGTAATTGTTACAAATATTCATTTTTTGTGAGAATTGTAAAAGAGTGGAACGATTTACCTGAGTGGGTTGTCGGGGCGGGAAATCTTGAATGTTTTAAGCCTTCTTTTAGTCTCCTTCGCAGCCGTTATTGGGGTCGTCACCCAACTCTCTTCCCCACCAACTAGAGGGGAGGAGCGTTGCGTGACGACCCTAATAACGGCTGCGAAGGAGACTAGCGTTCTTTAGGATCATCTTTAAATATCTCGTAGTATTTTCTTTTTATTCCTTATTGGCTTTATTTTTAGCTACCTTTTTGGGCGTACATTTTTAACATTACATTTTAATATTAGAATATTTTTAAGATTTTTCTTTTGGGAGTTTTTTACATAGGGTCAACCTCTTAAACTCCCTTTTTAAAGCACTCTTTGTACATATATATCTTTGTTTTTAAATGCTTTGAATAAACGTATGTATGTATGTATGTATGTATATGTATATTGCAAATAGCAAACAAATTCTCAATGTCATTGAGATCAATAACACGTGGCTGGGTTTTCACAATAATAATTTTCTAATGAAAAACTTCTGGGCATTTTTTTTTATCTTGTCTCAGCAATTTTTCTTGAAAAGCCCATTGGCTAGTTACAAGAGAGAATGATCTGATCATTCTCTCTTGCTAGTTATCATCCGAATTAGATGCTTGCAGCAAAGGGAAAAAGTATTTCTAGGGGCGAAAGCTTCGAGATTTTTAGTTTTATATAACGTCAGACATTTGCGCCCACGGAAATAGGATTGCATCAAAATTTATCTCAGTGATTCCGAAAATTGTGATTGGAATGTAAACGGCACAGTTTTTCTCGGGCGTTCCACGGGAAAATTGCCGAGGAAAAAGTGTATCTCTGCAAAGGTAGTCCTGTTTTCCCGTTAGAAACTTGTCGGGTAGAAAAGCTTGTTGCACTTTAAGAGTTTTCAAAAGGATTTGAACACCAGTTCCAGGCTTCCAACGGTGACATATGTGCCGCCATCTCAAATTTAATTGCGCGAGATAGCGGAACGAATGGAACTTGTGTCAAATGGAATTCGTTCTTCACCAAATGGAACTTTCCATCGAAGTTTCTTTAAGTTTCTGGTAAATGGAAAATGTTTCATGTGTCACATGTAGCGAATTCGGAATGGACACACGAGAAACACCAGGGAAAGCGCCGACGATTTTCGTTTTATTACTTCGGTGGAGCGCGAATTGAAGCAAAGGATTTGCGACGCTTAGGAATGTTTCAAAGTTGCATCCGGAGGTCCCGAAGTTGCTTCGGAATTACTTCGAGATATCTTCGAGTTCTTTGATTTATTCTTTCAGGGAAAAGAAATAATTATGAGGAAGAAATAGTTATTACTTCTGGAAGAAATAAAGAAGAAATAATTATTATTTCGCCGAAGTGTACGCTCCCAAAGCGTCTTGTTTCACTTGCAAACTATCCAGCCTCGTCCCCAGGGCGCTTTTCCCTAGTTAAGCGCCCTGGGGACGAGGTTGGCAAACGTCAATTTGCAGGAATTAAATCAACTGCAAAAGCTGGGAGGAAGATCCTGCTATTTATAAACGTTGGATCTCTAGAAAAGAGATCTAATCAGCCAAAATATTAAGAACCAATAACGAGAAGTCCAAAGACCACTGCAAAGCTTATCAGAGCAACGTGTTTTGTCTTTTCATAACATATAATATGGTGATTCCTATCATAAGTTCAGTAACATCTGTAAACCTGAAGAAGGCTGGTATGACCAGCCGAAATATTGAATCAAAGAAAGACTATCGTCAACTCGTGGGTACGTTACTTAGAAAATAATCAATTAGTTATTACCTCTGGTTTTCCCACAGTAAATTTTAGGAAAAGATAGAAATTCAAATTATAAATATAATATCCTTGTTCTGGAAACACAATACTTTTCTTGCTGTTTATTGCACTTTATTAACAGTTATTTAGGTATATATTTAAAAACAAAAAAAACCAAAACAAAGCAAAACAAATAAGCAAACAAAACAAAACAAAAAAGAAAAAAAGGAAGATGGAAAAAAGAAGGTCCTTAGCAGAGTTTGAACCCGGTAACTTCAGGTGGATCCGACTACACATAGCCACTACGCCATTAAGGATAATCACATGATGTTATGAAAAGTCTCAAATTTAATGCCTTTTCCATGAAACCTCCGCCGGCAAACGATCGAGCCATACTTAACCAATTCAAAAAACGACTCGAAGCAATCGGATGAAATTAAGGCTAATTAAAACCAGGCTACTAACAGTAAAAAACAATGTAAACGCATTTCATGGCAATGAAAGAACATATGCGATACAAAGCCGACACAACTTCTCCGCGAAATAGGACGCAAAACATAACCTTATGTTTTCTTATCTCGATTTCCGCTGTCATTTTAAAGCTAATGCTCAAAATCACATCCATTTCCCACCGTGATCTTATGTATCGGTCAAATCGAAGCTTCAACATGCCCCCCCGGGCAACCCCCCGGGCATTTGACTTTTTTGAAAATTATTGTTCAAATTCCCCCCTACCGGGGCCAAAATGCCGTTCAAATGCCCCACACTAGGGTCCATTCAGGTGATCAAATGCCCCCACCCCGGGGACATTTCACAGGAACTAAAATGACAGAAGGACGGCGGAAACGCCTTCAGTAGGACAATTGCACGATGACGTCATTTTACTACAACTACCAGAATCCTTGAGCTTGTTGTTTTCTTGTGCAAATTAAGGCTATTGTTCCTTAATCCTCAGCGGGATTGACAAATTTAAATAACAAAGCAAAACCGGATTGAATTCTGGTAGTTGTAGTCAAATGTCGTCATCGTGCAATTGTCCTGTTGTCGAACAAAATTTTATGAATATAACAAAAACTGAGAAACACTATTAGCGTATTTACTACGAACAAAAGTCTCGTGCAAAGCGGCGGAAATTGCTGCGTGGTCATTGCACGCGTGCTGAATAAGAATGCTGTGTAATGACAGACTAGAAACAATAGACAACTCCCAAAGCACAAACTCAGCCAAAACGCTAAAATCTTCAATGTTTACTCAAGTTTGGGCTTATAAAAGGTAATGTCACAATTTTTCAATGACCATGAAATTCAGCATCCGGGTAGTTAGTTAATCAATTGTGGCCCTGAAAAAATTTGAAGGAAAAAAAACTACGAATTTTTAAGAAAATGCTTTTTTCTTGAGATTGACTCTTAAACGCCGACAAACGTCAACAAATATCGAAAACTATCATTTCTATATGTTTGCTTTGCTCGAAATCGCGCGCATTTACAAGGCCCTAAAGCGTTTTGCTGACTTGCAAGGACCCATCTGTTATAACGATGCCCAAAAAAAAAAAATGAATCTCATAGTTTATTAGATATAATCCGTTTAAAGTTTGCTTATCATTTTCGCATAAATTATGACCTAAATTTGGAAACCGCTGAATTTCTCGAATTGGGTCTTTGCTATATTGTAGATTGATCTATATGTTATCCATTCTATGTGTTATACTTACGATAAAAGTAAAGGTGGGGATACCAGAGAGCTTCAAAGTAGGATGGTACCCCCTAAAAAAAACTGGGTCGAGTCACCTTAATTCCTAAGCAGAGTCCCAGTCCACTGCATCACACCTTTTTGCTCGGACGCGCTCGTTTCACCGCCCAACCTTTATCCGCCTGCCTAAGAACGTCTGCGTGGGAGGCTGGTGTAACACAGCTGGCAACTGTAGTGGTAGGTAGAATTAATTATATTACACAAGTCAGAAAATGAATTCCAATTCACTGAGGGAAGCTCCTTTGAAAACCCCCAATGACGCTTCGGAGACGAACCAGCTCTTCGTTCCTAAAGAAACAGTCGATAATCCATTTGATCTTACTTTGGTAGTCAGCGACTCGAAAGAAATCAAAGTTCATAGACGTGTTCTCTCAGAGGCAAGTCTTTTCTTCGAAAAACTGCTAAACACAAATATGAGGGAAAGCAACGAAGCAGTCGTTAACTTGGAAATGCTAACCGAGTCTTGCTTAAGAGATATACTGGAGTATGTTTACACTGGTGCGATTCTGGTTTTGAGTGACGACATGGCCCAAGAGCTGCTAGGAATGGCGGACTATTTGGTTCTACCCAATCTTAAAACTCTGGCTTCAAAATACCTCCTAGATCACATCAGTGCTAGCAGCTCTATTTCAACTTATTACTTAGCCGAAAAATATCATTGCGAGGAACTCCTTTCCGTTTCTGAGAAGTTTATCCTGGCAAATTTCACGACCGTGGCAAAAACAGAAGATTTCTTGAATTTGCCCGCCAAAGAAGTTAAAATGTGGATTTCAAGTGATGATATTCAGGTCAGTGCCGAGGAAGATGTGTTTAAAATCATGCTGAGGTGGATTGGTCACGATAAAATTGAACGCAATAAATGCTTTGTCGAGCTTTTTCGTGAAGTTCGGCTTATTTACGTATCGCGTGACTTCCTACACAGTGATATCGTGACAAATGATCTTGTGAATGATAACGAATACTGTGTCGAGCTTGTGAAAGATGCCATAAGGTTTGTTGATTCCAAGGGCCATTTGCCCCTCTGTGTTAAACCACGAAAATCACTCGAAATTCCTGTTTTCGTCATTGCTGTCAAGTCTACTAGTCGGGAGTATCAAGTTATTTGTTACCTTCCTCACGAAAATAAGTGGACTCAAAACTTTACATGTGGCACAGTACTTGATCAGACAGAAAAAGTAATCGGCTGTCAAGGGAAACTTTATTTCATATCCCAAACACACAGAAGGTTGCTGTGCTATGACTCATTGTCTAACTATTGGACGCAAATCCCATTTGAAGAACAAAGGAATTTACTTAATGTATTTGTTAGACATAATGATGAAATGTGGGCTCTAATGAGTGAAGACCAGTCTTGTTGTCATCTCTCCTTGCATTCTCATGGAAACAACCAAGTTTGTGGAGGAAAGCACCTTTATTTTCTCGCAAAGTACAGACCTGAATCGAACGAATGGGAAGAAAAGTCATCATTTGAACTGGAGAAAGTTAAGGTTGGAGTTTGCATGGTAGCCAACAACGACAGTTTTATCTATTTCCTTGGTGGTTCCTTAATTAATCAAATCACCGGTACGTCTGAAGTTATGGCAGATTGTGATAGGTATGACTGCAATACAAACACTTGGCAGAAAATTTCTGACATGAAATGTCCCAAAAGTCATGCGTATGGCACTGCAAAGAATGGAAATGTCTTCATTGCAAGCGACCACTATAAGCCTTGCCCTTGGGGTGGAAGGTTTGAAGTGTACTACGAAGCGACTAACAAGTGGCATATCATAGCAGACCCAATCTCAGATCCTACATGCAATCGAAGATTTTTGTGTGGCTTAGTAGTTTCTGATCACAATCTATATTCATTGAATATGTTTTTGTTTACTGGCGGATTGCGACTTGGTTGCCAACGATGTGCAATTCAATGCTATAAGCACTATAAGAACGAATGGAGCATAAAATCTCAATCAAACCCTGTTAAGAACGAATATGATGAAACTGCACGCCATTGGTTCTGCAGATATGACTTGCTCTGCTCGATGAGAGTATTTAAGGGGAGTGCGTTTCTTCAGCAAGCCTTGAACTCTGATGTCCAGGTTCAACAGTTCTCAGATGAGCCGGAGATTCTGGGACACGCTCTCCAGAGTGATGACCTTTCTCGGGGGAAGGGTGCGGCTACTCGTAGGCTAGACACCATACAACATAAATGCGCCATTTTGTAGACTGACCCATCTGGCAGAACCTCTTTCCAAGGAAGTCTCCTCTTCCCTTTTCTTGGAGAGACTCTGAGAATGAGATTGGCTCGGTAGACGCAAGAACAAAGGAAAGAAAAGAAATGAAATAGTGATAGGAAAAACAGAGGAAGGAAGCTACAATGCTCCTTTTCCCTTAAGCTTTAACATGCCCAGCTATAGCTTTTACCCTTCAAACACAGGCTAGAAATTCCTGTAAGTAGTATCAGCAAGCCTATGGTGTGTTTGCCAGAAAGCTTGAAGTCGCCCTGTTTCAGCTGGGGTAAAAGCTCCTGAGGTGGGGGTTGGGGGGGGGGCACTTAACGTTGTTGATGACCTCTGCCTCACTATTGGTTGACTGCAAAACAGTCGGTTTTTTTCTCAAAACCAGTAAAGAAATCGGTAAAGCGTGGCGTAAGAGCCTCTCACGCCCGTAGCGTCTCTCCCCAGTCTTGCTCTCTGTTTTCACCCTCGTTCCAGCCCTTTTGTTTAACTGCTCGCGCGTATTTGAATAAGCAAAAATACGGACTGTTTTGCGGTCTATACTATTGGTTAAAACTACACAGGTAGACGCTCATATAAGAACAATTGCCTTTTGTCAACCAAAATATCGAGACTATTACCCTTACTGGGCCGCTACACTGTAGTTTTATCAGGGCTAGGCGATTCAACAAAAGTTAGTCAACGTGACTACTTCTTCCTACTTGTGCTCAGTTGTTGGGAAGCAAAACAAAAGTTGTTACTTGTATGTTACTTTGAATAGTTGATATGTATATGTCACCGCAATGTATTGGGCGTTGAGCTAGAATTCGGCCTTTCGTTATGCATATACAAATTCACATCCCATATTCAAACGATTCAAAGCAGGGGGGGCTGGCAACGGCCTTTGATCTTGCCGCTTTTCGGCTTTCCATGATCGCCCCAGTTAAGAAATCTGTCAATCATTCGAGAACCGTAGCGAGCATGCGCGAAACGGGCTGGAAACAACAACATCACGAAGTTCGTCTTCGCAGGGATTCAACAGTGTGAAGTGAATTCGCTTTTGGCCCTGTTGGTCATTGCTTTCTTTGCTGTAACCGATTTTTTCCGCAGTAATGTGGAGCTTACGTTTTCCTTTCTTCTGGTCTTGCGTTTGTCATTACATGCGGTTTACTATGCTAAGAACGAGACCAGTGAACAGTCATTGTACATGTTCCTCGATGCCTGACCTTTTGGCTCACTACAGGCTTTCAAGCTGTGTTTCTGTTTAGAAGACCCACAAAACTAGAAGAAGGGCCAACCCTCCAATGCGTATGTAAAAGAGTTTATATTTTCAAGTGAAAGGCCGAAAATTAATCCTTCTTGATATTAAAAAAGGCGCGTTGGCCGTGGTCAAGTAGAAGAGTTGTCAGAGTTGTTTACGGTTTTATTACAACTTTAAGACGAAAAGAAATGATGATTGAGATTCTTAATTCTTCATCCTTGATTGTGAACTTATCCTGGCAGAGTTGCATTGGATGATTGAGTGGTATATGGTCAAATCTCGTAGTTCATGTATTTTGTTATGTACTAGAAGCTAAATAAATCATTCACTCTTGATATGCTTAAGTTCTTATCTTCGTGTGATCTAATTTAAACGTTACCGTAGTTTCTAAGAAATGAATATAGGCAAATGAAAGGGTAATTATTTTGTGTGTTTGGAATTCTCTTTCCATGACAGCAGTTACTACACTGCCTTCAGTTTCAGTCCTCATTCAATTGTGTTTTGTTTTGTTGCAAACAAAGAGGGAGAAATTATAAAATAAAATATTTTATTCCAAAAACTACACTACCCACTGGAACAAGAGTATGGTTTAAAAAAGATTAGCTAAGGTCAGAAAATAAATGTTCAAGTTTGCATGTTTTGACAAGGACTGCATCTGGCTAAATATGCTTCAAAGGGAATGTATAAAATTTAAAAAAAAAGGGGACATTTCTATTTTTGTCTTTCCTTTGGCCACTGCGATCAGTTTCTGCCTTATAGTTGCATGTAATGTTTTACACGTTTGGACATCAACCTGCCAGGTTAGTTTGTGTCTATGTAAAAATGAAGTTTACTGTTATTGACATCAAAGTAAACCCTCTGAACTTTAAAAAAAATTGCCTTGTACTAGTGGATATCGAAAACACCATGGGATTATTAAGATAATATTATTTACAGTCAACAGTAGCAGTTAGAAACTTGTGTTGAGGCTGGCAAAAATATTTTTCAGAGACCATAAACCTTCACTGACTTTGCTGTTACAACAAGATTTTAGTGGTAAAAGGGAATTAAAATGTGAGATAACCTCCCTAGGCTTACACTGAAAGAGAGTATGGGTAGTAGGACACATTGGGCATTTCCCTACCCTTTTTAAGCCAAGAGACCTTATTTTATAATCCTGATTCATTTCCTTTAGCATACAGAATTAAGGTAGGTTTTAAACTTAGAAACATGGCAAAACTTAGGGGGGGGGGGGTGGTGGTACCAATAGACTGTACTCTATAGACCGCTTCTTCTTCAACCTTCACAACCCAAACAGACACCTTGTTCAAAACTCTAAAGGGTGAAATGGTCACCACCCTAAATCAGCAGCACATACCCATCTAGGCCAAATAAGCCAAGGGTAGTATCGTAGAAAGAACTGCTGAGAGGATAGGGCTCAAGCCCGCAATAACTTCTTTTGATGGTTGATAAAAAATCAATTTTACCTTGTATAATTTAGTTGTAATCAGATTCATAATTTACACAAACAATAAACTTAAGCTGTATATTTTTCAAGCGTCACTCTTCTGATTCTCTTTATAATTTTTGCAAAACATTCAGTTTTCTTTTTTCTGTTTCCTGTACTTCAGTCCTTTGAGGGATTTTCTCAACGCATACTCTTTCCTGATGTACTCACTCTTATTAGCAACTGAATTAGCCTCTTGTTCTTACACTAAACCACTATAATCATTTCAAGTATAATTCATAACTAAAGGGTAATTTTTGTACCAACAATTTCAAGGAAATACTTGAAACCGAAGTCACTATTCAATACAAAACTACTAAATACAGGGTATTGCTGTTGGAAATTTATTGATTATCACTCCAGTGACATTCCAGTGAAGGTTTTGAAGGTCCAGTAAACCCCTCCCAGCCTTCTGATATTAAAAATAGCTTACACTGACAGACCCAGTATATGTGAAGCAAAGTGATTGGAACATTTACCCTGGTTTTTACTAAATTGGCCCTGTATTCTGTATTTACGCCCATAAATATTTGTTGTGCCTCCCGGTGTACACAAACAAACTTACGAACAGCGAAGTAGAAAATCAGTGGTTTAATGAACATTCACATATGACTGTTGCAAGACTCATACCAATATATTGTGCTCGTAGCATATGTATAAGATAAGGAAGAGTCTTAATACCACTGTAAGTGGAAAAATATAAGAGATGGAGCAAGACGGTCGCTCGAAAATTCACGAAGCACGAAGCGTAAAAATAACTGAACTTGCCGAGATCCCGAATCACGATGAGTGAAGTCACCCATGAACTGTTCATGCATCACGCCTCCTGATGTCCAAAAGGTCCATTAAAAAAGTTCATAGAAACCTTTCCTTGATATTTGTACGCGGGAAAACTTAAAACCGAGCAAAAACTCATCGTCCTTCCATGTCTGCATTCTCCGCCATATTTGTTTTCAAGGAAAATTTGTACTCAGTCTCACTCGGCCGAATTTCTTAACTGGGGCGATCATGTAAACTCGGTTCCAGACCTCGCTGCCAGCCCCCCCTGATTCAAAGTAAAAACGAAAATTACAGTCAACTGCAAATCATGACTAGGCATAATACTAATCTAGGAAGAAGATGCGAGTTTAGTAATCCACAATTAAAAAGAGTTCTGTAAAATGAAACAATCAAGTCTTATAGGGGAAATCCTTACTACCCTAATTTAACAGAAGATGAAACCTCTCACAAAGTAAAGCTCAACGATCTCTCTAAGTCAAGCAATTTAATCCGTCTTAGAGAGGTGTCGACCTTGAGTTTTAAAGAGAATAAAAAACGTCAGGGACTGACACTAAAGGTAGATTTCCACTGTCTTGGGTTATAGTGGTAGCCTGAATGACAGGCACTTAATGAGCCACTCGTGGAGGTGAACGGGACATTTCATGCACAAGGGCAAGACCCCTCATCTCGTGCTTCACGTGGAATGCCCCGTTGGCCTCGCTTGGCTCTTAAGACGCTTGACATCTCAAAGCGGCGGTAATACAGGCTGCTATTATTGTGGTTTATTATGCCTGTCTGGTGTACTAAAGGAAGATTCTAAACAGATAACTGAGTTCCGATTGCTCGTAGCGCAGCCATTTTTTTCATAATTAATGCCCCGATTAATGCATCTTTTTCTCTTAGAGAACCACGTTTACAGCTGGAGCGTCGATGTGTGCCACCTGTCCACTCTAAACAGTTTCCGCCTAGTTGTCGTGTACGGTTCATTAAACTCATAGGAAAATGAATAGTTTCATTCCAGTTATATCCAACAAAATTTTTTTAGACAGTTTTATCGGCTCATTTTCTAAGGTTTATCGTAAAACGTGATTCCAAATCTCGCTTATGCCATCAGTGTAACCTTTGGAGATACAGATTCATTTCTCCTAGAAGTTAGTCTAGTTTGGAACTTGCGATGCCTACCTGCAGGGTCTTTTACTTTGTCCGCCCCGCTAAAGTCCGAGGAGGGATACTCCCTTATACCTTATAGGTATGTGCCGCCCCATCGGGTAGGGTTTTTGTGACTTTTTGGTCTAAAAACGGGTATACATTTTGCCCATTTTGGTCTGGGATAGGGTATGCTTTTCGAGGGCACTACGGGAGTGTATGACAGTATTTATCGTTTCAACTCCAAATGAGTAAGAAAGAAAGAGAAAAATGCGAATTAGAGATGGATTTGAATTTTTTTACTTTCTAATCTAAGTAATGATGATATAATTTCTGCCCGGAAGCCAGGTCTGAAAA